AGAGCGATCTGATGTATATTCAGGCAGTTAATGGGAAAAAAACATTATTATTTTAGCAAACGGCAATTTAGGACCAGCTGGAGATTAGCAACAGATAATATGCCAAAGTCACATGTTACTACCTACATGTCAATCGAAATTTGTGAGTTAGTGAATCGTGATATTACAATCATCTGAGTTACATTCTGCTGAGTTAGTGTTGAAATGACGTGGCATCTACAAAAGCAGCCCAATTCTTCTTTAAACAAATGTTTTACACAAATTTTAAGTCTGGTATGATCACACTCATGTGGACACAATTTGTGTTGGTGTTTGTTTTAATCTGGTGTAGCAGCAAAGGCTTTAGATTTACATTTACATGTTTAGAGTGCTTCAAAATGGGGACTGTGCATCACTGAAACCCTCATCTGGATCCGAGCGGGACAACGGGCATTTTGACATGAGTGGTCTAACATCCTGATTTTAATATCAGGGCGTTGGCTCATTATTTTATTATTTTATTACAGGCAGTCATATAGATGGCATATTGCTGACGTTCAGCATGCAGAACTAAGAGCTGGTACACTCTGAATGATGACAGACATTGACATATCACAAACATCACCATTCGCTGTCCACTAACCTATTTAATTAGAAAAGATGACGAATAGTTATTATCATATTCTCCTCTTAGTTATTCATTGATCAGCATGTTACATATTTGCAAACAGGACTGATCAAATGATGGCTCAATAAAGGGCAATAACTCTCCAACTGCCATCTGAGCGGTTCGTTGTACCGGCAAACAATTACTATATATCAAAGCGAAATTTATTCACGTAAGTGCCCACCGAGAAATTTCGAGTGACAGTAATGTTGTAGAGGAAAAGGCTTTTATAATAGCATTGGGTGTTTCATAATTAGTTGAAACGTGATGTATATGAAAAACACTTTGAGCATACAATATGGGTAATACGCCTCTTTTCAAGTATGTTTCTGAGAAAAGCCTTCCCTATAAATTATCCTTGGCAATTTTATTTTTGCCACGTAATGATTGAAAAACACTAGCTGATAATAAAGGTAATCGTTTCAATCCTTTGTTCATAGAGAACTGTCTTTTCTACACCGCGACAGATCAAAAAGAGAAAAACAAGCAATTTACGTCAGTTAAGGAAGGGGATTGTATTGAATGGGATCTCCCTACCATCTGATGCATTTCAGATGGATCAATACAGCTTACATCGTTTTTTATAGGCTATCCCATAAACGTTAGATGCTGAATCTTAATTTTTAAATTGACCAATTTATGCAGCAATAACGCTTAGAACTCATCCGTGAAATAGAGGGAATTAGTCACATTCGTCACTGTATCTCTCGTTTAAAGCCTTTTTGCACATTTTGCTTTTAGCAGGTAAACAACTAAATGCCAATTCGCAGTGCAGATTCCGTTTTCACAAGCGGAAGAAAAAAATGTCGATCAGATCCAAATTTTCACGAATACAAACGCATGAATATAGTGATTTCAAGGTCAAATCAACTCAAATCAAGTTATATTTCTGATCTTGTCAACCATGTGGATAGCAAGCATCGCCACATGGATAGCCAGGTAGTCAATGTTGCTAGCTTGTTCCCTGGGTTTTATGGCTATTCTAAGGTGATATATATTTGAAACATGAGAAAGGAATTCCTGTCACCCGTTGACACACATCAATTTTATGCCCCTGGCGGCACTCCGGCCTGCTCGTTAAAATGCCACAGATAGCTCGCGTTAGTCTTCCATTTTAATCAAAGAACTCTTTGCGCACCAAGGAATGTTTTAAATGTTTATGGAGGGTTACAGTCGATTAGAGCGTTTTGTTGGCTTACGATGCACCTTGAAGTTAATATGGTACATTTAGAAATTGGATTTTGTATATCCTGTTTTCAATTACATAACGTCTCGAGTCCCACAAGGTGCTATCGATTCGGGCTGCTGGGCTCATGGAGGGAATATTACAACTGGATTTGGTGTTTTTTGTGGTGAACTAGCGACAGATGACGTCAAGAACATATCAACATTGTCGTTTGATAAAACTGGGAACAAACAGACAGAGACATGAGTGAGTGAGTGAACGAGCTATTGTGGCAGTTTGAGACGGCAGAATGTACATTTATTTGAGTTAATTGCCTTTCAGATGTGTCTGGGGAATCGATGAATGTATCAACCAGATAGACATTGTGGTTTGTAAATAAGAAGAGCTCTAAGTCATGGTCGATATGATGAGCAACGATATATGTCGATTGAATAAGATGCCATACATGAGTTCTCATTTGTAGATAGGCATGTGAAGCAGAGAGCAATTCCGTATGGTGTTTCCTGGAGTAGATCACAAAGGATCGAGGTTCAGGTCATGTGGGGATTCGGGTATATTCGAGGCAATCTGACAAAAGAAAAACATTATTGAGTAACAACCCTTTCGTTTGGAAGAAGATCTGCGATCAACGCATACACTTTCACATCGATCAACGAATTCGGGGTTTGATTGCAATCGTCAGCGCAACCAGCGGATCCACTTTGTCGTGTAGTTAGGCTGGCTGTGGACCAACACACCAAATCAGCTATCAGGTGCATACTCAGAGTCATTCAAAGAATTTGGTCAGTAATGTACCTGCCATTAGGTACTTTAGGCATGTGCCTACACTTAAGTTTTTCGGCAATTCACCACTGTGCTCGTGATATCAGCATAAGGAGAGATCCTTCAGTGCAATGAGGAGGATCAAGACGTACCTTCGGTCCACCATGAGTGATGTCCGTATGTCATCTCTTGCACTTATCCATATCAGTAAGCACACACCATGTCATTGAGCAATTTGCTGCTGGACGAGGCGCATGGATTTCCTTTACAACGTGCTGACAAACTTCCTTTTCTTATTAATCCACATAAATGCCATTTGTTCAATTTATGTTTATATATAAAGTAATCAGGAGTTAGCATTCTTGCATTTAATATGTATTTACAACACTGCATGCAACAATTGGCTTCAGCCGATAACTAGCACTAGTCTACATATTTTTCTATGCATATCAATTGTATATTGACTTCTGTTAACCCCCCAAAACACCCCCAAAACTGCATGGAAAGTTGTTTCTTAATTTGATGAAATTCCGGTGGCACATAACATTTTATGGCCTAATAGAATAATGACTTTTGCTGAAAGAGCTATTTTGTCATTGCTTAATTATACTATAAAATATTTGTTACAATACTAAATTTATCTGTTCAATGTTAGTAACGTATACCAGATATAGTTGTCTAGAGTAACCATTTTTTGAAACATTTTCTTGAGGGAGGATGCCTACATATATATATATAATCTTTTATTCCTCCATAGTGAAGAGTACAGAAAGAGACAATATTTATGCACTTATTTCAGGATTTCCGTGCGCATTAGAGCCAATACCACGTTTTCTTAATCAGTCAAATGCAAGAGTCACAATGAGTCACTGGAACACAGCTTTGTACATCATGGTGATGTATTTTATGCACAGAGTGGAAAACTCAATCAAGTCCTCTTTGATCAGAGGAAAGTCGGTTGTACACGACAACAAGCACTCTGTAAGTTCATTTGGGTTCATGTTGTGAAGTTTCACGCTGAATTCGATTGGCCCAACATTGATTAGGCCTGTCCACAGTTCGTCCCGAGTTGCATCTGTGTATCCACACACAACTACGGCGTGCGTGAGGGGGGGTCATCGTACATCATCCCACACCGATGACACAGCCCTGCTTCACATAGGTCTCTCACTGTAGCACAGGCTTTGATGACAAAGTTAGCTTGCCGTCTGAGTGATGCATCAAGCAATGACACCTTCCATGCAGGGTGGACTTCAAGCTGGCGATGTATCCGCTGGAACTTGTGAAGATCAGAGTCATCTGCCAACCGACTGTTCCATTGTGCTACATGATACTCTCTGACTGAAGTCTTCACTATTCTCCTCCACTTCGAACGCCCTAGGAAGGACCCTGATTCTAGGAATTTTTCCCAAGTGACAATAGAGTAGGTACTTCTTAAGCACCCTGACTACATCAGGCACATATCCAAACGATGACGATGGGACGTTGTGCAAGTAGCCCATCAACCGGGATATAAACAGTTTGTGAGGTAGATATCTGTGGTCCATATTCAAGAGACCACCCAGGAAACACAACTTCCGCTGGTCTATAACTGCCTCTAGAGGCAACACTCCAAGGAGTCCAAGACAACTATCAGTTCGAGTGGTACGAGGCAAGTCTTGGATTGATTTAATGACGTGTCTGTATGATCTCTCCAGAATTAAGATCTCAACTTTGGAAAGGTTAGTCCACAGTTCCGACCCGTACAGGGCTTTGGGAAGAAACACACGGTTAACAACTGTCAGGCTGATGATTGGGTTTGTAAACCGTGGGTGAAACCCACAAGCTGTCAGTGATCTCACACCGGACCGCAAGGAAATGGCAGCTAGCGTCACATGCTCTATGCTTGACATGTTTCCTGACAAGACTATCCCAACATGGCGGATTGATTCCTTCCACGGGAGAGGTTGGTCATACAACCTGACTTCAACCTGCTCTAGCTGCTGAGATCTCGGCCGGTATGGAAAAGTGACAATTTCACTCTTGGAGGAGGACAGTACGTATCTCCAGTCGTTGCTGTATTCCTCCGAAATCCTCACCATCGATCTAAGGGCAGAGAGCCTTGATGAAATGAGTGCTACATCATCTGCTTGAGTGGGAGAACACACGCTTAAGTCCATCACGACAGCGCCGAGATTCGACTCAGAGAGTTTCTGGAGTAGGGAGTTTATGTACAGCAGGTACAACTTCCCTGACAGCACACCACCTTGTCTGATACCCTGCATCATGGGGATAGGCCTAGAGCACATTGAGTCAAGGAAAACTCGACACATCATTCCCGTGTACATGTCGTCAAGAACAGTCCACAAGGAGCCTTTAACTCCACACTCGAATAACTTGTATTTGAGACCACTGTGCCATACTGTATCAAAGGCCTTTGATGTATCCAGGAACACAACATGGGTATCCTCCTTCCGCTCGTGGTAATGGCGTATCGTCTCTTGCAAGTTGAAGGATGTGTGAAGGGCAGATAACTGAGATTGGTATGCCATTTGTTGTGGGTGGGGGGAAGGTATCAGATTGATTTAGTCCGTCCAGTCGAGACAGGAGCACCATCTCAAACACTTTTGACAACACAGGGGAGAGTGATATGCCACGGTAAGAGTTCGGGTCTTTCTTTGATTTATTCCCACCTTTGTACAGAGGCACCAGGATGCTCTCGCGCCAAGCTGTCGGGATATGTCCGGATTCAAGAATGATGTTGTAGAGGGTTGCCAAGTGAAACATCAAGGTTCTGCCACCATACTTTAGGTGCTCGTACACGATCTTGTCAGCACCACCAGCTTTATTGTTCTTCAGCTTGGCACAGCACTCAGCGACTTCCAACTCTGTGAATTTCATTGGCTGTGGATCACGTTCTTCCTTGCATTTAACACGGATCTCCTCAACTAGGGATTCTATCTGCTCACAGAAGGAAGAGTTGAAATTGTCTCGGTCTTTGGCAGCATATACATCCTGAAAATGGTTAGCCCAAGCATCAAATATAGCCTCTGGATCACTGTGCACAGCTCCTTGATACAATATCGGGGAAAGTGTTGACTTGTGTCCCCCTCTTATTGACCGCACACAATTCCAGAAGGTCCGGATATCAAGGTCATGGGATTGTTCGAGTTCTTGAAAAGTCTGTGAGATATGGTTATCACTTGCTTGCCTCATGTGCTTCCTGAAGTCAGATTTTGCTGCCTTGTATTCTCTGTAGGACGTGTGTGCAGGCCCACGAGGTTTGCCATCAGCAAGCCAAACACGACGCTTAGCAGTCATGTGATTATGATAATCATTCACAACTTTGTTCCAGTATGGTTTCAGGAATGACCTGAATGATTTCATTGGTAGTGTCTCCCTGCTGGCATGCAAAATAGTACATGTTATTGCTGAATAATATTCATCAATATCAGTCAATTCACAATCCTCTGTGGGAGGTTTAATACTCCACAGCAGATGGGAAACAGCAAAGGTATAATCCTTCAACATGTCCTGACTTCTAGCTTTTTCCCATGAGACAATCCCTCGTCCCTCTCGCGTGAGTGTTGGTAGAGGTGATGGCAGGGACAAGGTGCAGATGACCGGGTTGTGGTCAGACACATTGAAAGGGGCATCGTCTAAGATACGGGCACATAAAACATCACTCAGGGTCGTCTCAGGCAACAAGATATGGTCAATCATAGTGCGTGGTCCATGCTGATAAGAGCAGAAGGTCCAAGTTGGACCTGAACAGAGATCCAGAGTGTTCACTGAAGTAAGGCCTGACCTTTGAATTGTCTCGTTCATTCTTCTTGATCGGACATCTTCTGTGAATCTGTAATGAGCACATTTGACTTTTGTATTTAGATCCCCCATGATAATTACTTCACCAAGTTCTGAGTAGGCAGCATATATGTCATCGACAATGTCAAGGCAAGTAAAGAACAACTCATTTGGTCTAGTCACAGCCGGTAGGTACACATTAAATATGTACAAAGGTCTGCATCCAGGAACGTGAATCTCAACACCAACTAAGAAGTCATAGTCGCTAGGTACCTCTTGACAATAGCAGTGGAATCGCTTAGATATAAGCAAAGCGACACCACCTCTAGATGCAAAGAACCCATCAGGCAGTAGTTGACCATCTCCAAAACATCTAGCAATCACTGAATATGGATCGGCAATTTGTGTTAGTAATTGGAGGTTATGATTACCGAGCTGATGTTCACTCAGTCCACAAATGTCCACTTCACACTGTGAGAGGCATGATTTGAGATATGGCACGCTGGTTGAGACACCTCGACAGTTCCAGCACATGAGAGTAATCCTATCAACTTCCATCATTATGCAGTCTTGTTGTTGTACATCTGTGACCTCGGTATCCATTTACGGACAACGATACCATCAGGCCAAAAGGTAGGATCTTCAACAAGTTTCTTCTGAGTGAAAGGGACATTTACCTGTGCTGAAGTTGTGTGTCTGTATTTATTGTTCAGATAGTGTCTAGTCCAAGAATTTTCTCACCATTATCATGGCATGGAATCGGTAAACCAAGGGATTCACTCAGTTCTCTGATATACGACTGACTACTGACACACCCGGTGTTGCAGTTGTTTTTATGGACCGGTGCTATAGTTGACTGACTGTTGCTAACTGTTCCTGTCAGGTCACTCACAGCGTCACCGCCCATGTGTACCTCAGCTTCTACATTGTCACATACTATACGATTACCGTTAGCCCCTGCAGCGCTCTCAGCCTGTGTGGGGTGCGTGCGAGTACAACTGCCCGGGTTGTCCACTGACGCTCTAACGTTAGCCTGTCTCGATACAACACTATGACAGTCAGAGATACCGTTATCACGTGTTTCGCCGCCGCCCCCAGTGTCAGCATTGTCACTAAGATTGCCATGCTCCAACGACGATTGATTTACATCATTATGTGTGTGACTAGCTTCAGTATCGAGGGGTATACAAGCCGTCATATCAGACAGCCTATTGTTCTGCTTCAGATCACAGAGTTCACTACGCAGTGTGTCAATCACCTTAGCTTGTGAGTTAATCTGTTCTCGTAGTTCCCGAATTTGCTTTGTAAATATGTCGACATCTTGAGCATATTCTTTTCTCAATAAAACCATGTCTCTGTCAAATCTAGCAACATGAGTCTTCAGATTAGCAACTTGCAACATGACCGCATCAACACCTGCATTTACCGCTCCCTGTTCGCATCTCTTGTCCTTGGCCGTACACACTATGTCATTTAGTTCATTAGCAAATTCACCATGGCATGCTCTGAATAAATAGTAGCAGTCTTTTGCAAGTTTGAATTGCAGAGATTCACCTGATTTGCCTCGCTTCTCCAAGCGTCTCTTTAGAACACTTTTCAAATAAGGAAAACCTTCCTGTTTCTTGGCCCCTTTCAAAAGTATTAATCTTGTTGATTCTAATTCACTGATATCACCATTTAATATATCAAGAGTTGTTGATATAAACGTATCCTTGGGACAGTCCGGTGACTCACGTGTACAGAATAGCGATATGAAGTCCACAGACTCGTCACGTAACGTACAGTTCAACTCACCAGTAGTATCGCCATGTTGACTGTCGTTGTATTCGCCGCCTTGCCGGGTATCAGACATATCATTTCCATCGTCCACACGCAAGGCAAATGAACTTTCGTTCACACAGTCAAAGGAAAGTGTTCCTGGGTCAACATTCGTTAGTTCTGTGTACGATTTATCATAATTACACGCGCTATTTGTCAAATATCCACACTCGTTCAGAGAGCTCGATTGGCCGTGACCATGCACGTCCGCCATCATCACTGTGTTGCTCTCGTCCAGTTGTGCCTACACTTCATATCTTTCCTGAGTACGCCCCTGTTAGTTGTCGGGTACCTCAGATATAGTAGTATGTGAGAAATTGAGCGGCGAGAGAGAGAGAGAGAGAGAGAGAGAGGAAGGTGAGAGAGAGAGAGAGAGAGAGAGAGAGAGAGAGAGAGAGAGAGAGAGAGAGAGAGAGAGAGAGAGAGAGAGAGAGAGAGAGAGAGAGAGAGAGAGAGAGAGAGAGAGAGAGAGAGAGAGAGAGAGAGAGAGAGAGAGAGAGAGAGAGAGAGAGAGAGAGAGAGAGAGAGAGAGAGAGAGAGAGAGAGAGAGAGTATCTGTGAGCGCGTGTATGCATTTGTCTGAGTGCGTTCATATGTTCAGTGATCAAGTGTTGGGTGTCTGGAGGGAATGGCATATCTTGGCCACCTGAGAAATAGGACCAGGTCGTAAGCATGACAGGCCAACGTTTCCACCACAAATCCCGCCTACCCATCCATCATACAGCCTGGCTACAGGAATAGGTGCAAACATCATCTACAATTTACATGATTATATATATCCTGTAACTAGACAAACTACATACGCATAGTGGAAGGGGAAATAATTAGTTGTCATGGTGAACTTTACCCTCGATTATCTCCCTTCCAGAACATATGACAGATGTGTAACTGTGCAGAGCTTCAGAAAAACGATAAACGTGATAAGGTGCAAGTACATACGTTATATAGTTTAAGAGATTGCTAAACAATTATTGATTGAAGTGTGCATGTACTAAAGTGGGATGGGGCCGTATATTCATGTATTACCCTCGCCCATTGTATGCCGACTCATGAAGCGAACCTCCTCGACAAACACAGCGCTTCGTGCCTTACGTCCCAAGGGAGACTACTCCAGACAAGACGGTCGAACATCCAACAGCACTCAACGGTTCAATGTCTGAGGACAAATACATGCTCTCGACATAACCCAGGCACGTCAGTTTGGAAGCAAAAATCAAGGTTTTCGTTTTGCATGGCCAGTGAAGAACGACGAAGCCATTATCTTTGACATCAGTGCCATGTTAGCTCGCTTCTCAGCAATCAGATTAGTACCAGCAGAACGGTGAACACGGCTTGCCGATGTGCCGGATGATCAGATGGAAAACTTAATGGGCAGTAGACATTTTGGTTTTGTGGAATAACACTGGGCCGGGAGTAGTGGGGACAGGAAGTGGGTTCTGGTTTGCTGTGTTTATGCTTAACGGAGGATGGAGAGTTCTTTATTGAGAGCTGTAATTAATTAAGGTATTGTGAGGCATGCAGACACGGACATATAGCCAGACGAGTTGACATTGTATGAAATTTGCTTGTAACAACAGCCAGGTTGTCGATGTTATGGGTTTCAGAATTTCAGCATGGTCGCAGTCACAAAGGAAGAACACTCGTTCAGGAAACTGGGCAATCATTATGCATTATGAAGCAATGGATTTTACAACACATGTATGCTTAAAGCAAGTTGAGGATCGTGAAATATAAATGGATATCAGATCATCATTGAAAAATGGCTGACCGTCACTGATTGATACGACACCATCGCTGTGACTAACGTCGGTTCCAAAAATGCCTAGTGTTGATTGGCCCACATTTATTGTCATATGCATTGACAGAATCCATAATGATTTATAGATGTGATCACATTCAGTAGCAGTTCAAGATACTTGTGGTCCATATTTGAATGAATGATGAAGTGTGTTATTTCAGAAGAGAAGGTGTCTTTGATTACAGGGCCAACAAGATAATAGCAATATGATGAGTGAGTGAGTGAGGTAAAATTTAACGTCACATCGGCAATATTTCAGCCATATCGTAACGAAGCAATATGATGAAGCTTGCAGCAACTTGAAGTCGAATTTCCATCATGAGCTGCCACGCTTATATTCTGCAAACACGTTCGTATCATTGAAAACTTGGATGAATTTGAAATACTTCAGGAAAGTGAAACTTTGGTGGTTCCTGAAATTGGAAAGTTGTGGGACCCTTCGAGCAACTGATTCTTGTCTGAGAATTTTACATCATTAACTCAGACTCGATTATTTACAGACCGCCGCCATATAGCTGGAATATTGCTGAGTGCGGCGTAAAACTACACTCACTCACATAATTAACTCGACACATTTGACCCACACACCAATGATTCAGAACGTACAGTGGGGATCGGCGATGGTGTAGTGTTCTTCATGCTCCTTGTATGTGTTAAGTATATTAGATATACCATGTGGTGTATCTTTTTGGTTGGATAAAAAACACGGCGTGGTATAATTCTAAAAACGTATAATCCTTTTGCACAAGGTTATAACTCAACATAAAGTAATTTTCTTCTCTGAACGCCTATGTTAAACAGATCAAGGCATGATCCGACTACGTTTAGAGAGACAGTGCTGTCTTAGTCCCCTGTTATTTTATTTTTGATTAACTTGTCACCCCTATATGGAGAAAAGATATTACGATGTTACTGTAAATGATTCGATGAAGCTGAAATGTGTTATACCATAAGCCATTGGTCTATAGCACCAGATCGATGTATTATAGCAATTATGTACATGAACAACTTTGGGATGGAATGTGAGTGAATGGGTGAGTTGTTACTTAAAATCTCATCGTTAGTGTTTCAGCCATATCGTGACGACGTAAACTATATATTAATAAAAACAATCCTAAACGATATATATACGTGTCAAAAGGGGACAGTAATATAACTAGAATATCACAGATTTACATTTAAAACTACCAAGGAACCATAAAACGACATGTAAATATTCACAGCACAATAATATTAATTCGTGCATAAAGTTCGGAATGTGTATATCTGGATAGATAGATAGATAGATAGATAGATAGATATA